GGTCCGCGCCCGCCTGGGCCCGCGGGACGAAGCAGTCGAGGACCAGCCCAATCGCGGTGGTCACGCGCCGCACTCCGCCTCGCGCACGGGCGCCGCGCGCACCAGGCGCGCCACCAAGCAGCGGCGGGCTTCGATGGCGGCGCTCCCCGCCCCTGAGGGGGGGGCCGCCACGGCGCCGGGCCGCAGGGCGCGTCGCACTGCCAATGCGCGCCGCTGGGCAGGCGCGGCACGCCCCAGCTCCGCCGCGGGAGTGGGCCCTCCACCGCGGAGCCGCAGCCCTGCCCGCAGCCGCACGCGGTCTCCGAACCCGTGCGGGACTGACCACACCTCTCCCTCGGGAGGCTGCTCCTCGCCTCCCGTCGACGGCCCGATCTCGCCTGAGGAGCCGTCGGGGCCGCCGGCGGGGGAGGCGTCGGAGGGCCCGCGCACTCCTGACGGGTCTCCGCCCGCGAGCGTTCGCAGCCGCTCGAGAGCGGAGCCCGCGTGCGAGGAGGACTCTCCGACGGAGCTCGAGGACGTCGTGCTGAGTGCCCTCGCTGACTCCTCGGTGGACCTCGAGCGCGTCGTGGCGGGCCTGAACCCCGAGGTCCTCCTTCGCCTGCAGGCGGCCTTCCCTCGCCGCGCGGAGGCCTCTCCGCCCGCCGCTCACGTCGCGGCTCGCAGCCGCTCTCGGGGCCGCGGCACGCGTGCAGGCTCCGAGACGCCGCGGCCCGTGCCCCCGCCGCCGCCACCGCCCCGTCACCACTCTGGTGGGCGTGCGGCGTCGCGATCCCGCGCGTCGGCCGCAGGCCAGGGGCTTAGTCGAGCGGGCGCGCGCGACTCCTCTCGCGCGCCTTCGCGTCAGGCGACGTCGCCTGGGCGTCGCGAGGTGCGCTCCCCTCGGGTCGCTCCGAAGCGTCGCCCGAGCCCCGCTACTTCGCAACGGCTCGCCACGCCCCGCCATGGTGCGAGCTCGGGCGTCGCCCGCGCAGGCAGCTCCCGCGCGGACTCCGCTGCTCAGGCCCCTCCGACTTCGGTAGGCATGCGCTCCTCCAGCGATGCTGTTGCGGCCCCGCAGGGCGGAGGGCGTGCCGCCGAGGAAGGGGGGTCTTCGAGCGGCCCCGCGCTTGGCCGAGCTCCAGAGCCCGAGCTGCATCTCAGCGGCTCTCACAGCGGTGACGCTGGAAGCGCCGCGGCTGCAGCCTTCGCAGCGCGGCGCACGGCCTCTGCGGCCGCTGAGCAGCCCTTGCCTCCAGGGGCCGCCAGCGCCCTAGCGTGGCGCCTCAACATCGGCGGTGAGAAGATCACAGTGGTGAGGTGGGGGCCCGCCTGGCAAGCTGCCTTCCAGAGCGCGGCGTCGTGGCTGAGGTCTTTCGCACCCGCAGGGGCCGCCGAGCCCGAGGGCAAGGATGACCTGCACTGCCTCCTGCGGGCCTTGCACGCCTATAAGCGCCTGTTTCAGACAGGCGGCGCCGAGCCGATTGACGAGGCCTCGTGGTTGCATCCTTACGTGGCCGTCGTCGAGCCCGAGGCTATCCCCGCGCATGCTGACCTCCAAGCCATGGGGGCGGGCGCCATCCGTGGCATCGGGCTCGGCTCAAAGATCGAGCACCGGCGGCGCGCGGGCAAATTGGCCTGCCTTTTCGACCTTCTGTACCACGTGCAGGACAGTCACGGCGCCATCCCAGCAGCGCTGTGGGGATCCCATTCCCCTCCGTCCGAGATCCTCGACGCCTTCGCGGAGGTGGTGCCCGTTCCACATCATTCGGGCCTCACGTCCTCGGCAGCTCGTTCCGAGCTTGCCGAAGCAGCCGCAGCTGCGCGTGCCGAGCCGCGCCCGCCATTTGACTGGGCGACCCTCGAGGGAGGGGGCGCTCTGCCAGCCGAGATCGAAGCAGGGGCTCGCCGTGCCTACCGTAACATGGGCGGATCCTTCAGCTCGGCGCGGGCGATGCTGGCGGAGGCGTCGGGGTTCGAGACCGACGGGCGGGACGCCCTCGTTCCGCCCTTCTACGCGTCCAGGCGCAGGAGGGCCGCCACGCTGATCAGCTCTCCCAGCCCTGGCCGCCCTGCGCTCATCCTGTGGTGCGTCTGCGGCCTCTGCATCTCTCTGGGAGCCGCGGCGCCGACCGCAGGCCAAGGGCTTAGTCGGGCTGCGCCTTCCGCGCCCGCTCGCCCTCCGCGCACTCCCTTCGTGCGCGATTCTCACCTCACCTCCGCGTATCTCGACCGTCGCTCGAGATCGATTGATGCGTTCGAGCTGTGGTTAGCAGAACACACTGGCGTGCCACCCGCCACACTTTACCGAAGCGGGATACTTCTCGCCCGTTTCCTCACGACCTTCGGCGTGTGGCTTCATGATGCAGGTTTCCCTCATTATATTCTGGTCCATGCCATCTTGGGAATCCAAAGCGCCCATCCGCATTGGAAGGCCTGTCTGACAGAAGCTTGGGACGTAGCGAAACAATGGAAGCTTGCGGAGCCGCCAAAGCTCCGTCCCCCCTTGCCACGCGCGCTGCTGCGCGCCATGGTCGGGCTCTGTCTCGCCTGGGACTGGCCTGTGATGGCGGCGCTGCTGCTCATGGGCTTCACGATGTTCCTCAGGCCTGGCGAACTGCTGGCGTCACGCCGCTGTGACCTGTCGCTTCCATGCGACCGCCTCGAAGTTGAAGGGGATGCTTTTCTTTCGATTCTTGTTCCAAAGACCAGAAGAACGTACCCGACGCAACATGCTCGCTGCTCCGATCGGGGCACGGTGAAGATATTGAATCAAGTGTTTGGGAGGTTGGCTTCCACCGATCCTCTCGCCCCCTTCGGCGCGAGCGGCTTCCGTACTCGGTGGAATCATCTGCTTTTGGCTCTGGGCGTCCCTCTTGCCAAAGCAGGTCAGGGGCTCAACCTGACGCCCGCTTGTCTGCGGGGCTCTGGCGCAACAGACTTCTATATCGCTACGGAAGACGTCCCTCGCGTCTTCTGGCGAGGGCGTTGGCGTCAAGCTTCCAGTGCCGAGCGCTACCTGCAAGCCGCCGCCGCCTCCGCAGTTCTTGCTGCGCTGCCCGAGCCCGCACGGGCTCGGATCTTGTTCTTCGCCACCGCCAGCGACAGCCTTGTCGCTTCGTTCCTCCAAGTCGGCCCCGCCGCTTGGCCTGCCCTGCTTGCGGCCGCCCGCCAAAACCTTGTCACTTCGCAAGGTCCTTGAGCACGGGTATGGCTGCCTCGCCGACATCGGCGACCAGACGGACTCCACCGTCTGACGCGCGGCGCCCCGGCTTGAGCGCGCGGGACGGGCCTGCCCATTTTGGGCCGCCCCGCGCGCGCACGCCGCGGCCGCGCTCGGAGACAGCTCGCTAGCGCGCGAGCGGGAGAATGCTTCTTCTATTCTCTGTGAGCAAGCTCCTGCTGTCTCCGCAGCTTCTCTGCCCCCCTCCCTCCTCTCCCACTCTAAGGCTGACGGGCGCTGCCTCGCCGACATCGGCGACCAGACGGACTCCACCGTCTGACGCGCGGCGCCCCGGCTTGAGCGCGCGGGACGGGCCTGCCCATTTTGGGCCGCCCCGCGCGCGCACGCCGCGGCCGCGCTCGGAGACAGCTCGCTAGCGCGCGAGCGGGAGAATCATCATCATCAGCATCGTCATCGGGACACCATAATCATCATCAACATCATCATCATCATCATCAACATCATTATCGCCGGGACACCAGTTCCATCAACATCATCATCACCAACATCATCGGAATCATCATCATCATCTTCATCATCGGGACACCATCATCGTCATCATCATCAACATAATCATCATGATCATCATCATCCTCATCATCGGGACACTATCATCATCATCGACACCATCATCAACATCATCATCATCTCATCATCATCATCATCATCATCATCTCATCATCATCATCATCATCATCATCGTCATCATCATCATCATCATCATCATCCTCGTGGGACACCGCGGGACACCGGCGGGACACCGCGGGACACTGCGGGACACCGCGGGACACCGCGGGACACCGCGGGACACCGGCGGGTCACCGCGGGGCCACGGCCGCCCGGAAGGGAATCATTTGGTCCGGCCGCGCCTCAGCCACACGGGACACCAGCGGGACACCGGCGGGACACCGCGGGGCGCCGGCCGCCCGGAAGGGAATCATTGGGTCCGGCCGCGCCTCAGCCACAGGAGACTTTCTCTCGCCCGCCCACGCAGCTTCGCCTCGCCCGCACGGCACGCACGAACACGAAACCGAAATCGATTTCCCGGTAGGGGGGCTCTCCGTTCCACTTCGATCTCACCCCTAACCTCCGACCTTCGCAGCAGCCAGAGACTCATGCCTTTCGACAGCACGGATAGCGATACACTAGAAGATTCAACAACCGCAAACCACAACCGAAACAGATGAACATGGTGAGTGCTACGCTGGGAAGCAGGCCTCAACCGACGCCAGCAGGGACCGAGGCAGCACGGTGGCCAACGCAATCTTGGGGACGACGACATCAGCGGCCACTTACGCCAACGCGTAACAGACATCCGCCGACCTTCCACACATACCGAATCGAGAGGACAACCACACGACATCACATGGACGGAAGCAGCCCACGACACCGACACATGGATGGTTCTCGAGCATCATGACACCGACCTCACACCAGCAAACACCCAGGACCAATACCCACTAACAAATGCCCAGAGAAATCCGAGATGCCACGCCCAGCCCGCGTCCGCACTGACGCCAATGACTTTCCCTTCTTCCTCCCCCTCCTTTCTTCCAAACCTTTTGTGTGTCTCGCATTGCAGCACGCATCCAGACAGTCTAGATTCTCGAGGCCACGGCTTCACCCACCTGGTCTGAGCTAGGCCCGCACACTGTCCGCAGCGGTGGCCGCATCCCACTGCATCGCCTCCTCCTCCTCTTCCTCCTCCTACCCTCGTCCTCCTCCTCCTCCTCCTCCTCCTCCTCCTCCTGCTCCTACTCTCCTCCTCCTCCTCCTCCTCCTCCTCCTGTCCCTCCCAGAGGCTGCTGCTCTCCCCGTGGGCCGCGGTGCTGCAGTCCTACGCCTCCTCCGCGGGCGCCTCGGCCTCCTGGCTCGGCGATCGCCTGCCCCCTCGGGGTGACGGGGCAGGGGGCGGCCACGCCCCCCCCCCTCCACCAACGGCTCCCGCTGCGTAGCCCCCCAGGCCAGCGGGAGCTCGCCTCTCCGTTGGCCCCGGGTGCGGTGCCGGGGTCGTTCCCCACTAGCCGGGGGGCGCAGGCGTGCTCGTCTGTCGGACCTCACAGGCTACCCCAAACCAGAATGAGGACAGTCCTGCAGCACGGTTGCCTGCCGACTCCCTGGCTCAAGTTTTGCAGCCGTCAGTCGTTTGTGCTGGTTCTCTCGCATACTCCGCCAGTCTTCTCCAAACCTGTGCTGAAGCATCTCGGACCTGCGGTTGAGCGCGATACGCAAATCCAGGAACAACAAACGGCATACACACCAAGTCCTCGGAGGCCTGCAGGGTCTTCTGTGGTGGTGTCCTTGTCCTGCCCGCCGAACTGTTTCGCGCGGGCGCGTGCGCGCCCCTCTAGCATCCTGGGTGGTCTGCCTCGCGCGCGAGACCCGACTCCCGAAGGGTGTGGTCCGCACTCGTAGCCCAGCCCCCCCCGCCTCTCTTGTATGTTCGAGCGTGCGCCTAGCCAGGCAGGTCGCGTGGAGGACGCCCTCATAGGCCCCTGGAGCGCCCCCCTATGGTCCTGACCAGGTTGCTTTCAAAGAGCCCTCAGGGGTCCGCAGCCACTTTGGCTCAAGGTGCGCTCAAGCCGCATCATCTTTTGAAATCAGTGCCAGCAGCTCAGAGGAGATGATCTACATCTTCAAGGGTATCCGGATGCCTGAGGCAAGTCCCTCCATCTTGTTAGCTCAGCCTGCTGGGTGGCAAAGCTTCGAGCACCGAATGCTTTCACATACGACACCCTTCCTCTTCACTTTTTGAGGAGCTCTCATGGAGCTCACCTGGGCCGTCTCTGGGCTGTCTTGGGCTCCTGTGAGGCAGTCTTGAGTCTTGGGGGTCCCTTGGGGTCCTCTTGGGCCCTCGCGGGCCGTCTAGGGGTTTCTTGGGCAGTCTTGGGCCTCTCCTGGATCGTCTTGGGGCCATCTTAGCCGTCCAGGGAGCCTCGCGGGGTCTTGGGGCCGCCTTTGGCCGTCGAGGCGCCTTCTGAAGCCGTCTTGGCCCTCCGCATGCTCTGTTGGGCCACTCCTGGGCCGTCATGGGGTCGTCCCGAGCCGTCGAAGGGCCGTGTTCGACTGTCTTGCGGCCGTTCTGGAGGATTATCGGGCCTCTTTGGGGCTTTCTTGTGCCGTCTTGGGGCCATGTTGGAGGCGTCCAGGGCCGTTTGCAGCTGCGGGCAACCCGAAAGGGCGAAGAGACCCAAATCTTGGGCGAAGACGCCCACGGCGAAGACGTCCAACAGAAGATCTGTGATTTTGGCATCTTCGGGCCCAACTGGGGGTCCTCTTATTGCCCTCTTGGGCCGTCTTGGGGGCCTCTTGGGCCGCCTTGGGGCCATCTTGAGCCGTCCTGTAGGCATCTTGCGCATCTTTGCGGCCTTGATTGCCTGCCTCGGCCGACTTGGAAGCTCGGAGCCGCGGATCCATCGCTTCTTTCTAGCGATCGTGGCCTGGTAGCGCGGATATGTTTTTGTTATGCCAGGCAGTCTTCGGCATTCTGCCACGCCTCAACGTGCAACGGGGGCACGTGGCGGATCCAGTCCATCTGCAGCCTGCCCGGCTACATCTGCACGGGGTGCGGTGAGGCCTGCAGCAGGCTGAACTGCAAGCCGTGCCAGGACGTGTGCGTCAATTGTGGCAGCGCGGTGACGCGCTTCTTCGAGAGGCCGCTCAGCACCTTCGTGATCTTCGCGTTCCTCTGCGTCGGCGCGTCCCTCTACAGCTCCGCGCTGTCCTTGGGTGGCGATGCCGACGCCTGCAGCTTCCGGGGGGACGTCTCGCCCATGACGTACGTCGGTGCGCAGGTTTGCTTGGCAGTGGTATTCTTGTTCTTCGCGCCCTACTTGCAGCGTGCAGTCTGGACGGCGATCATGGAGAGCTTGAAGGAGGACCCCGATAAGAAGGTAGACCCGGTCGAGTCGAAGGACGCGGATGCTCCTCAAAAGATCAGAGTTAGGAAGGAGACGGTGCAGGATGCATTCAGGAAGGTCTTCTTGGAGGACCTCTTCGTGCTGGTCATCTTCGTCCTGCTGTGCATCAACGCCGCCCTTTCAACCTACGTCCACGTCGCTCCTGACTGCCAGATGCCCGGCAAGCCGTACGGGACCAGCCTGCCGAAGGGGATGCTGGCCTCGTGTACGTTGTACACGTTCTTCTACTACTGTTGCACCTGCTGTGCGAACAAGGTGGAGATCGAGCGGAGCGAGGTGCCCGAGCTGGGGCAGCCGCTCAGGCACGACGACAATCTGGGGCCGTGAGCGGCTCGAGAGAGAGCGAGCCTCGCGGCGTGCCCTCTCGTGGCCAGCCGCGGCCTCGCTCACGGGCCCCTCCGGCTGCGCCTCGCACTCCCTGCAAGTTCCGCAGCACAGAGCGCGTGAATTCGCGGCGCGTCACTGAGGCAGACGCCCTCCAGTGCGCGCCGTCGCGCGGGGCGCGGTGCCGGGGACTCCCTCGCGCCCTCCCGCCCAGTGCCCCTCTGGCCGCCTTGCGCCTGCGCGCCGCCGCCCTAGACGGTCGGCCCGGCCAGATGAAAACAGGCATCCATGGGACGGCGTAATTTCCCAACCCATTTTGCACCAAGTGCTGTCATCAACGGGCCCATCCCAAACGAGTGATGATATGGTGGCAGGGCGCGCGATTCCTTGTCAGAGGTGCAAGAGGGGTGGCTACGCGCTGACGCCTCATGAGGCCGACATGAAGCAGCACCGAATGATAGGAAGTGGATGGGGGAACGGCTGAAGGACGGCGACTGAAAACATAAGGGGTGTCCTGAGAGCAGGGCGAAGGCGGAAACGAGGACAGGTGACGGTTGCGCAATTGGCAGCACCCAGAAAGGCAGGGTGTATCATGTATCAGGGTGGGGCCGCAGTCCGCTGGAACACCCGCGAGCTCGGGAAACAGTTGCGTTCCTGACAGCTCCAACGGAGGCGAGGGTGATGCATGTGGATCCCCGCAAAGCCGCAGTCCGCGGGACCTCCCAGGAGCTCTCAGGAGCTCACAGGCCCCGACGGGATCCTAATGATGTTCGGCTGGACGGGAGAGTTTCGGGAATTCTTCAGGCACCCTGAAGGGCCCCCTAGGCATCCTGAGGATGCCTCGAGGGCGTGCAGGGTTCCGCAGGAATCCTTTGGTGCCCTCATGGATCGCCAGGCACCGTCAGGTTTTGTCAGAGATCCCCAGGATTTCTCTGGGCCACCCAGGGGTTACTCAGTGGTCAGCAGGAGTCGTCGGGATTCCAGGGGGATGCTCGGGGGTCTTCACGAATTTGGAGGTTTCTCGATGGCTCCTCGCAACTTGTCAGGCACGTTCAGGAAATTGCATCGTAGCGCCCAGGATCGCGTGCCGTAGGTCTTGGGGGCTCGAGTCGTAGGTGGACGGTGTTCGTGTAGTACGCCCCAGGGTCCAGCGTCGCAGGCCTGGGGGGCTCGCGTCGCAGTTTCCAGGGCGCAGCACCGCGGGGTCCAGGGACTCGCGTATTAGACCCCAAGGGTCGCCGCGAGCCGAAGAAACATTCTGGACATCATCGGCGCGCTCGTCTTGAAAGTTTCTCGCGAGATCCCCCGCAATGGCCTTCCGGCCCTCATCGTTGTTCCCTCGTTCTCCTCTTTCCCGCCAATCCTTGATCGGCGGCGCATGCGACGTTAAAGCTACACGACATGGCGAACGGCAGATTCTCTGACGTGGACAACATTCCTACGCAAGGGGCGCCTTGGACATTCCTTTCCGAAAGCACAAGTGGCAATGTTGGTCGTTCCTTAACAGTTCTCTGTCCAAGAATTGATCAGGGATGTTCAACATGGCCACTTGTTTTTTTTTGTTGTATTGGGGTTGATCATCATGCAACCAACCAAGAGCCCATGCTTGCGCAATCGGCGGCACTCATGAGGGCAAGGTGTATTTTGGATCAATCAGTTGGACCCCTGTAGGGCCGCACTCCGTTGGACCTCCCTGGAACCTACGAAAGAGCCCACCGTTGCAACTGGTACAACCCGCCGTGGCGAGTTTTACTTTGGATGTTTGTGGGCCGTCACTACGCTTGACCTCCGCCGAGCTGACGAATCAGCCCACCTTTGCGCAATTGGCAGCATCCAGGGAGCAGGCAGAGCGAGGGAGGGGACTCGGGATCCCCCCACACATGCATACTCACAAATTACGCACACATATACATATATATATATATATATGTATATGTATGTGTAGATATTCATATGTTTATGTACACATATTCGTATATGTATTTGTATACGTGTATATGTGTACGTATGTGTGTACGCATGTGTATATGTATATGTATATAAGTATGACTATTTATATGTATAACTATATGGCAATGAATAGGTGTATCTACATGCATGTATGCTTGTAAATGTAGGTATACATGTATATCCATATGCGTACTCTATGATTTGTGTATGTGTCTCTGCTTTGTATATGTGTGTGCCCATGTATATGTATATGTATATATATATATATATATATGTATGTGTATGTGTATATATATGTGTATATATATGTAACTGTATTCGTATATGCATGTCCACAGGTAAACGTATTTGCAATTTGCTGTGTGAATGTACATGTATATGTCTCTGTCGGTATATAGGTATAGGCATCTGTACCTGCATCAACATACGCATATACATATGCACATGTATGTTCACATGTCTATGTACTTGTCAACATACATGTATAACCATATGCATATCTATATATATACATTTGTATGTGTACATGTAGATGAAACTGTAATGCTTATGTACATGTATAAGTTTACGTATCTTTGTAGGTAGGTGTATATGTTCGCGTGTATGATTTCCATACATATAATATTTACATATATATATATATATATATATATATATATTTATATGCATATATATATATATGTATATATATGTGTGTCCGTGTGCATGCACACGCGTATGTGTTTTTACATGAAAATATCAATACGCATGTGTAGTTATTTGATTACATACTTATGACGGTATATCCGTGAGGACTTTGCTCCTTGCTGCTGGCCCCCTCTTTATCATAATTTGATATATCAGAGTCGCGTCGGTGAGTTTCGGCGCTGCCTTGGCGCACTTGGGAACATCATGCGGGGGATATGAACCATCAGCGCATATTGAGACGTTGGCGTTATCCTAGTTGCCTGTCGGCCCATCCCGCCACCGTGCCTGGGTTGTGGATCTGAGGCCTCTTGTACATGTGTTTGGGTGTCTTGGGGAGCCTCTCGGGGGCCTCTTGGAGACGGTCTGGGCGCCTCTTTGGGGCCTCGTGGGGCTTCGTGGGGTATCTTTTGGGCCTCCAGGAGGCCTCTTGGGCGGGACTTGTGCGCCTCTTGGGGCCTCTTGGGGCCCTTTGGCGGCCTCTAGGGGCCTCCTGGGGGCTTCTCGGGGCAAAACTATTGAATGTTCGGTTCGTGGTCCCCTGCTTGGGCCCCTCTTGGGGCCGTCTTGGGGCCCCCTTGGGCCGTCTTCAGCGCTTCTTGGGACATTTTGGTGCCCTCTTGGGCCGTCTTGGGGCCGTCGTGGATGCCTCTTGGTCTGTCTTGGGGCGGTCTTGGGAGCTTCTTGAGCCGTCTCAGAGCGTCGGAAAGCAGAAAATGCGGAAGGCCCGAATCCTTCAACAACCTTCGTACGATCTACGTTTTTCGCCTCTCGGGGCTCTCTCGGGAGGCCTCTTGAGTGCTCTTGGGGCCGCTTGGGGCCCTCTTGTGCCGTGCTGGAACCATTTTCGGGCGCTTTGGAGCACTCTTGGCCTCGGCAATGCGAATACGGTGTAATCTGCATAAAGGTTTATGGCTTGGGGGCCGCGAACATTGTAATTTTCTTGGGATTCTGGCCTCGGGGGCGCAATAGTTGTGTAATTCACAAGGTTCGTGGCCTCGGGGAGGCGAGCACTCTATTACTTACCGGTGTAATTTAAAAGGTTCGTGGCCTCGGGGACGCGAGCCTTGTATGATTTATTGGGGATTATGGCTTCGGGGGCGCGAATATCAAGTATTTTTATCTGTCCCACGGGCCCCTTGGAATTCAGAGCACGCGATCGGGGCGTGGTAACCAGGCGGTTTGGGGCTCCCCCCCTCGCGCGCACTTCAACAGTTTACAGTAGGAAGCAGAAAGCAGGAGTGTAACATTGGAGACTTGAAAGTACAACTGGTGCCCGGAGCAGCAACCTCGTTCTACAACCTGGTGGCGCCACAGGGGGACCGGCGAGTGTATATATATATATATATATATGTGTGTATATATATATATATATATATATATTCACACGACAGAAAAAGACAGAGAGAGAGAGAAACAACAATGAACAAAAAACACAGACACACACAACACGGTGAGAAAGGATATGGGCGGGAAGGAGGAAGGAGGAGCAGCACGTTCCCTATCCAAGGCGAGGGCCCAACCACAGGAGGGTCGGGGAAAAATGCACCAGGAACTTTGAAGGTGCCTCCTCCAGAGAAGCCTCCCTCGGGCGTCCACACACTGCAGGTGCCTTCAGCGGGTCTCCAGGGAGCTCCCAGGAAGTGTCCGGGGTCTTCCATGGAGGTCTCCAGGGCCGTCGAAAGGCCTCTGTGAGCTTCCAGCCTCTGGGCTTCTCCAGGGTGTTTCCGAGGAGGTCGGCTCTTCTAGAAGGGGTAGCGCAGACCCCTTCCAAGCGCGATACGCAATCCCCTGTCCTGCGGAAGCGCTCTCGCGCGGTTCACGCAGAAGCTAGCCGCCCCGCGTGCCCTGGAGCACCCCAAGGGCGTGTGTGTGTGTGTGTGTGTGTGTGTGTGTGTGGACCTGCGGGCGTGTGTGTGTGTGTGTGTGTGTGTGTGTGTGTGTGTGTGTGTGTGTGTGTGTGTGTGTGTGCGTGTGCGTGTGTGTGTGTGTGTGTGTGTGTGTGTGTGTGTGTGTGTGCAGCGGACCTATACGTAGCAGCGCTCGTAGAGTGTGCAGCCTTACTTGCACAGTGCGCCTAGCATAAGTTGGAGGGGCCTGGTTGTGATGTGTCGACCTGGCACCATCCGCGCGTCATTCTATTCTTGGCTACTGCCTAAAAGACATTGTAGCTCTTACTCGGTGCGGTGAAATCGAGGACTGCCCCGGTGCAAGCGCCTGGTGAAAATCATTCGCAGCCTGGGTTCGGGGACACACTTAATCGCACTCCTGCAGCGCGAAGGAGTGAACACTTAGCTCTTGCTACGCTAGGCTCGCTGGAGCTTACGTGACGTGGGTGGAAGTGGATAGGTGTGCGGTGCATGGAAGAGCTCACATGTAGCGAACACAGCTGTCAGCGAGTATATTCTGACTCGTCCCGATCACCAGTGTGGGGAGCGTTTGAGCTGCTCCTTCATCCCTTGCACCCTCTGTTCCCTTCTTGCTTGCATTCTCCCTTTGCCACCGTGTCCCCCTCCCCTTTCGTGGTCCACATCGACTGCGGGTGGGCCGCTGGACTCGCGCAGAGGCAGTGCTGGAGTCGCGGTCAACGGCAGGCATCCACCCGGCCGTGCACGGGGCGATGATGAACCAGGCGAAGCACTGGCAGGACGGGGGCGTAGAGCGATGTCTGTCGGCGGGGGCTGTCGTAAGCTCTGGATGCTGTTTTTGACCATGGGGTATCGGGTTGGCGCATTTTTTCCCAGCGCAATTGGCAGGGCGGGCTATGGTCTCCCCCCCAAGCAAAGCGCGCTCTTGCCTCGCTGCTTGACCGCTTGCCGCGGGCGCTTGCAACATGGGACGGGTATCGAGGATAACCGGCTTGAAGAGGAGGAGGAGGAAGAGGAGGAGGAGGAGGCGGAGCATGAGGAGGAGGAGGAGGAGGAGGATGAGGAGGAGGAGGAGTAGGAGGAGGAGGAGGATGAGGAGGAGGAGCAGGGTAGGACCTCCCGCCCTGTGCGCCGCGCTAGGGTAACGATCACCTTGTGTGGGGAATAGGCACCTTGCGCCATTTGGCCACTACCAATGTAAAGCAAGAGGTGCCGTCGTGTGGGCGCGCGCGAAAGAGTGTGTAAGACGAGCCATGAGAGCATCCAGCTGAACAGACGCGCATCCAGAAGGTTCTGCGCAGCCTAGATCAACAGAAAGTGCAGAAGGAGGATTATCAGGATTCCCGCCGTCACAAGAGTGATATCATGCTAGAAGCTCAGTGCACTTTGGGAATTACATCGCAATACATTCGATCTACATTCTCGGTTTCTGTCAGGCTCGCATCTGGGAAATTTGCTATGTCAGGCTCCCCGAGACCCTGAGCTGGGCCTCGCCGAAGAAGCCACACTTCCCGCAGGGTCGAATTCCAATCGTATGAGGGAAGGGTCCGATACGCAAACACAGCATACGGAGTAGTCAAAGCAATCTGTCATTAACGGTCTCCAGAGGCGAGACATATTTTTCTATCCAGATACTTTTACGCTGATGACTTGCAGTCGCGACCAAATGCCCATTCCCGGCCCCGACATGCGAAGCCGCGAAGCGTGCAAGAGTCCGAGGGGCGGGAGGGGGAGGGGACCCTGTCCGCCCGCGCTCCGTCGAGCCCTGCTCGGCCCCGACCATCGAGGATCGAGGTTCGAGGATCGAGGTTTTCGGGCTTTGGGTTTCGAGGAGCCTCAAGAGGCCTCCAGGGGTTTCCACGGTGACCGTCAGGGGCCTCTACTATGGGATCGTCGGGCTGACTCTTCCCTCGTCGTTGTCGTCGTCGTCGTCGTTGTCGTCGTCGTCGTCGTCGCCGTCGCCGTCGCCGTCGCCGTCGCCGTCGCCGTCGCCGTCGCCGTCGCCGTCGCCGTCGCCGTCGTCGTCGTCGTCGTCGTCGTCGTCGTCGTCGTCGTCGTCGTCGTCGTCGTAGGCGTCGTCGTCGCCATGGTCAGCGCCCTCGTCGTCCTCGGCCGCCGCCCCAGGAGCACCTCGGCCAGCCCGGCCCGGAGGGCCCGCTGGAAGACCCGAGCGGCGGCGGGCGCGATTAAAGTGGCGGAGGGTTGTCCACTATGCATTATACCCCGAGTTCCACAACAAGCGCCAGGGGGACGTTATCGCCACCGACAGCCTCAAACCGATCCCCGTCGCCAGCAACCACCGCGTGCCGAAGGAGCTTCAGCACACGGCGCGGTGTGCTGACGAGGCGAGGTTGACCCCCGTGGGGTGGTGACCCCCCCACGCTTATAATCAAACGTAGTGTATGATTTTGTTCGGTACCCGAGCGCCCCGTCAGGGTTGCCCGTGCGTTTGCTTGTTTACTGTTGCTGCTGCTGCTGCTCCTCTTCCTCCTGTTTCCCGTCGCAGGCGAGTACGCGGCCGCCGAGTTCCGGGAGTGGGCCACGCAGAGTGCGGAGGACGCCTCCGCTTCCAGCCTTCCTTGCTTGCGAGTTTGGGCTGACCTCCCTCTATCCTGCCCCCTGCTCAGGGGCAACGTTGGGGCTCAGCGGGGGACGCATCGACCCCTGATCCATTGATCGCCGATAGGGTCCCGATAGCCCACCCCGCCCAGAAACGTACGGATCTGCGATCAAGGGCCCATCGCCGACCTATCGGTGATGCATCGCCGATTCCAAGTCGATATCCTCCCGCACCTCTCTGAGCCAATCACCCCCTAACGCTCCCTGTGCCCCCTCCCCTCTTTCTATTTCATGCCCGCTGGGGCACCCTGCCCCACCGCGGGCGGCCAGGGCGCAAGCCTCGAACGACGCCCCCCCCCCCCCCCGCTTATACCGATGCTGCGACTGGGCGGATGGGAACGCGGGAGCACACCGTTCGGTGTTGCCGCGTTTGGGCCTCGCAATGGGCGGCCTCGCGCCGCCCTATTCCCGATGAGGAATGGCGCAACCTCCCTCCGCATACTCGGCACTTTGGGCCCCTCGAGGGAGACCCGCGTTCGCTGTTTTTGCAGGCGGCGCTCGCCAGTGACCCGCCACAGCCTCGGCCGCGGCCACTGCCCGAGCACGTGGACAACGCCGCGGGAGCGCCCGCAGCGCGGAGCGCTCGCGTGCCATGAGAATGCACGGGGCAATACTGGCTGTACGCTGCCACCAGCGGCGCGTGGAATCCCTTGTCCAGTTTTCGCGGCCGTTGGTCGATCGGCAGGGGTTTGGAAGGGGAACAGGCGCAGTCCCATGCTGCTGCCTGTATGCTGCCACTCACGTGCCAGGCGCCTGCTCCCCCGATTCTCGACGTGATCTCTTCACAACGTGGGCCCCGGGAGGTCACGACTCCTTCCCCGGAACCGGTTCTTTAGCTAGAGTTTTTGGGGCGGCGCAGGGCCCCAGCGGCCACCGTGGGCCGAGGACGACCAAAACACACATCCGTCCGCTTTTTCACGACGCCAGGGGGTCAGGGAAGGTGGAGGAGGGAGGGAGGAGGCAGTACACATCCAGGAGGACGAACACGAGGATCGGGAGGTGGATGGGGGAGAAGGAATGGGGAGGAGGAGGATGATTATGTTGGGGTGTGGAGGTGGGGGAGGAGCAGAGGCAGATTCACCCTGCCGCCTCGGCGTTTTCTTGTGTCACGAGGAGCTCTCGCTCCGCCTCGTGCCCGCGCCTCGGCCACTCGCGCTTCGCCAGGCGGCGAAGGAGCACGTGCGGCTCACCTCGCACTTCTTCGCCGAGGCGGCGGGGTGGCTCTGCTTCTGCTCCTTGCCCGCCCCCAAGCTTCAAGTCCTCCTCCTCCTCCTCCTCCTCCTCTTCCATCCTTCTTTTTTCTACATAATTCGTCCCTGTCGCACCACCAGGCGTGTCGGTGGGCTGGACCTGGCGTTTCGCTTGACACTTCGTTGCAGTCCCGACGCTGGACAATTTCAACTGTTGCACGAAATTTGTACCTCGCCCCAGCGCCGCGCACATTCGTCTTACAACTTTCCAAAACTTGCACGGGTCGGTGGTTTTCAATTTGTGGTTCTCGCCCTAGTGCCGTGCACATTCGTGTCGACAGTTTTTAACAGGATGGAGGGCCGAGCGATTTCAAATGTGGCTCTCGCCTCGGCGCCGCGCACATCCGTTCTGAAACTTATCATCGTTTTCACCGATGGAAGCTGGCACGTTTTCAACAGGTTTTTTTTTGTTTGTGGAATTCAGCTCTATGTAGGCCCCCTCTATGCTGCCAGATCGTTTCCCCGTCATGCTTTCCCCGGCCCGTTGTTGTTTGGTGTCAGGCGGGCCCAGTGAAACCTGAATTGCTTTAGGTAACGAGCGACCGGGAACTGTTTTTTCCTCTCTGATAGTGACTGCCGCCGCTCCGTGTGTGTGAATCCCCCTACTTTCCTCCTATCTTGCTCATATCCATCGCCCCTCTTGGCTCGGATGACAGGTACTCGATACTTGGAGGTACGTTGGGTAAAACCATCGTCCCTCATCGTCTACCGACGGACACTCGGGGGGTGGGGTCGGTCCATTGGTCCTCCTCACCCTCACACAGGTTATCAGCCTTCTCTTTTATATCCGACATCGCATCCAACCTGCGCCCCGACCTGACGACATCGGACTAGTTATGCGAGATGACGGCACGACACCAGTCGTCCGTCCTCCCGCATGATGAGTCGTCGCCGTCAGTCGCGCGCAACTTGGATGCTGATATGTCCGATATTCTAGGAGCTTCCCCAAATTTTGCGGCCCGCATGGCCATCTCTCCAGGAACCGACGGATTGGACGAAGCTATGCCCCCACCCAGTGCAGCGCAGTCAATGCAGCGGGAAACCGCAGCGATGCCAGCGTTGCCCACCCAGGCGGCACTTCAGCTCCACGCTATGCAAGCTGAGTTGCAACAGCTTCGTGCCTTGCATGCTCATAGCGTTTCCGCACCCCCACTTCCTATTGGAGATCAGACCCCCCTACAGCAGCGATTCTTACACGCCGCTCCAGGGCTTACGCCTCAATTCCCCACCCTTCATACCACATCTGACGTCCCTCCCGCAGCACTGCACCAGTCAGCGCGGCGGGAAACCGCTGCCCCGCCACAAACAGCGCAGCGGGCCACCGCAGCACCGTCCCAGACAGTGCAGCGGGATACCGCAGCTCCACACATGCCTACACCTTCCTCCCCTCCGAGAGAGAGAGGCACAGGCACACGACGGTGGGGCCATGGGACGCCCGAACAAACAGGGATTGAACAGGGACAGGTTTATGAGCGAGTCCGTGAATTCGAAAACCGTACTTCTGACCATGGCCCTCGTCGCCGTGCTCATTCTAAGAGCCAAGCTCCCAGGCGTGGCCCCGAACAGTACATTATTCGAGACGATCGCGGCAGTAGGAGTCCATCTATCCGGGGGGTTCGTATTAGGCCCCATAGTTCCCCAGCCGCAAACCGACATAGGGAGGCTCTGCCAATGCAAGACATGGCTGAGCTACGAGATCACGTGCACACATACGTTGAATATCAAACTAGCCTCGTCCACAAGGCTGTGGCCTCTGATACCGCCGTCCTCCGGAGTGACCTCCAACAGGGTCTTTCGATCCTGGACGCTGCCGTCCAAGAGGACCGTCGGATCATGCAACAGCTGATGCAGCGTCTCGATACACAACGAGATCGCGAGACTAACGAACTTGTGGCCGTCAAGTCCGACTTCGATCGACTTGAAGCTAGCGTCATTCAGATTCGTCAACACAACGATGAACGTGCACGCATTCTTCGCGAAGAGCTGCGAGAAGTCGCGGGCGCAGCTTCAGGCGCCTTCGGAGCGCCTTCCACCGCAATACAAGGTCATATTGCCACGATTCGTGGTGAAACGGAAGCTGCAGCACGTGAGCTGCACGATTATACACGCTCCGTTCAGCAAGATTTGTATGGCAAGTTATGTGAGGCCGAGAACGCTTTCCAAGCTCAACTCTCTTCCTGTCAGGTTCAACATGTACCACAGCTTCTATCCAGAGTCCACACTCTCGAGCAGACCGTAGCTGAGCTGCAGGTCGCACGGGCTCATACTGCGCAGGTGAGTCCCACTGCTACGGTGACCAACCCTGACGTGACGGCAGCTGTTCTACAGACCGTCCGAGCGGAGGTGGCCCACTTGCAAAGGCAGCTGCAGGATTCTGTGGCCGAGAGGGATGCCGAGTCAGCACGCGCGAATGCGCGCCTGGATCAAATGAACGCTGAGATGGCTCGTCTTGCTAACGAGAATGTTGACCTGCGTACTCTAATTGTCAATCTTACTACCCACAATAAGGATGACGTTCGATTCCTCACAGACACTCAGAAACATCAACACGCTGAATGGGAAATATTGTCTGATTGTGTCGCAAAACTGCAAGCAGACAACACCACGCTTGAGCAAACAATACAAGATCACATCGCGGACGCAGCCAAACATACACCTGATACCGGCTATCGCCGCCCCTCCCCTGACGCCGCTGTTCGCGATGCGGGGGGTTCTACTGGGGCCGCTTCCAAGCCGACACTTCCTCAGGCAGGAACTGGTGCTGACGAGCAGCGGGGAACCGCAGCCCAGCCTTCTGCCCCTGAGACAGCTGCAGACAATGCTAGCTTTCGAACACACTCTCCCATTAATATAGGTACACTCGGCTCCAACGTTGCGCAATCCCCGTATAATGCTGGCGGGTCACTACTTCCTGCCACAGTCAAAGAAAGTGACCGTGTTCGGGTCCCAGGCTTCCCTAAGATCACAGGAGTCGCCGATTGGATGAACGGAGTCCGCAAGGGTTTCAGAAACGCCTCTGGACGCCCAGCTCAGGCGTACGCCTTCATCATGGTAGCGGAGAACCCTGAGATGACTTTTGAGGATCTCGCCGACAGCGGCGACTTCGAGAGCCTCGACTGTAAGTTAGCTGACGCTCTTCTCGAGATCCTCCCACACGAGTTAAGATTGCAAATGAAGCTGTTAGAGGACGTTGAACACAAGGCCAAGCGCATGCTTAAAGGACGTCAGGTATATCAGAAGATTATCCGTTCATTTGACGTCACCGTTGCCGAGGATCACCTTCACGACTTTGATCGCATTAAGAACCTACGCACGCACGGAGACGATCTCCAACGTTTCATCGTCGAATGGGATCGATTACTATTGGCTCTTAACAAACTACCCGAGATGTACATCATGGAATCCCTCTTTCGTACTCAGGTTCAGAGACATCCTTGGATGAAAGAAGACATGAGCAAATACAACAAATCCAGGGCTGGAGCCAAAGATGAGAACGGAGAGGAAATCAAGACATACAATTGGCTCCATCAAAGAGTTTACGACGTTCTTGATTTACACAAGCTACAGAAAAATCAATACAGCATGCAAAAAGAATCGCGGGACACCGTTGCCCCTGCCAAGACTAAGACCAAACAATCAAGCCGCAACTCACATTGCGTCCCTTTCTTCAAGGGCAAAGGGTGTCCCCGTCCTGATACATGTAAGTTTTTGCACACTGCTGAAAAGAAACCGCCGCCCAGACGCCACCCGTCGTCTCGCGATCCTCCCAGGAATCGCCAATCATCTCAACATCGTAGAGACGCTCGAGGCAGCGCCTCTGGCGCGGCTACTTCGAGGCCTCCGGCTGCCAGGTATTTTTGCTACGATTTCGCAAAGGGTAATATGTGTCAGCGCACTGGTTGCAACCGGCACCACGTGCATCCTTGCGTCTTCTATCAGAAGGGCAATTGCACCAACGGGGATAGCTGCAAATTTGCCCACTATAAAAATGGCTTCAAGACGCCGCCTCGCAGCCCCAGCAGGCCCAGAAGCGAACAGAGGTTCCCCTCCCGAAGCCCAGGTGGTAGACGCTGGTCGCAGAGATCACGATCTTTCACCAGGAGTCCGGGGGGCAGGGCTTACTCCAGGAGTCCGGGGGGCAACCGTCGTTTCTCAACGAACACTCGACAGCCCTCCAAGAGCCCAGGCGGCACTCGCTGGTCCCAGAAGGACTCGCGATCGCCGTCTCGTTCGTCTCAGCGGCAAGGCCGATCACGTAGTCCAGGCGGTACAAGATGGTCTCAGAGAGATTCACGATCTGGCTCCCGTTCCAGTCGGACATCGCAGTCCAGTCAACGACAGCGCTCTCCCGCTCGGAACACCAACCGAGTGTACGTGATACGCGAGAAGATCCTCGCAGTTTCACCTACACATGGTATCTCAAAGGCCCAGATTCTCAAGACCAAACTGCCTGCGACGACATCGACACCAAAACTAAAGGTTCGCTGGAACCTTGCTGCTACCGATATCGATTTCTTCACGGTTCGACGTAAGATGAGACCGTATCGGGAGTCACCAAACAAAGGCGGTGCTGTCCACGTTCCAGATCCAATTCCCGATTGGTGGTGGATCCGTTCTCAGGCTCATCTGACACGCGCCCAGGAGAATGCATTCGCCCTCATACGGAGGCTGGACGACGACGAGGACATCCACTTCGATTATTGCTACGTCGCAATTCCGCAGGAGGACGTGCTGCTCCACACATATGCCACGGCGCAGCAGGCAACTGCAGCACCAGAGCAGCAGGAAACTGCAGCTTCGTCGCGGCAGGAAACTGCAGCCAGCGCCCCTCCAACAAAGGACACGGTAGCAATATCGCGTTCTTTCGTCCTTGATAGCGGTTCGGCACTACACATTTCAGATAAAGCCGACATGACAGAATCTGAGAAAAAGGGCATTCGCATCGGACGAGAACACATT